ACTATAGCGTCCCGGAAGAAATGAATAAATAGATTTACTGGGACCCAATACTGTCGTCTGGTCTTCAATATTTTTACCGTTACTACAAAATCACTAAAATGTACAGTTTGAACGTATTGACCGGAAATCGGGTGATCAAAAGTTTCAAATCTTCCATGGTGCCAATATATTCACCTAACAGTTATTCGTACTGGTCTTGCTTTTCATGCTCACCGTTTTACTCGTCATTCTACTATAACCAAGCTGTTGATTATGCACCGGTTACAGGATGCGCATACGCCTGACAATATACATTAGGACTGCTATGAGTCTGGATTTAGGGTTTTCCGATGAATAAAGATCGTCTGTAAGATCAAAAGGATGATAGGAATCAGGGTGTTCTACTCGAAAACTTGGGTGTTAGAGATCAGTTGAAACTTTCGAAATCCAACTACTCGTTCGATGAAACAATCTCACATTTTCGAAGACGGTTGACCTCTACCACAGTGAGAAGCGAGAAAAACTTGACAGTCGGCACTCTTGTTAGAAGATGTGCTGCTCGAATGTAAGTGCTTGTAGACATTCGTTTTTTGTGTTCATTTGTTTGCTTCCCGTCGGACAGAAATCGTGGTTTTCGTAAATAAATCACACAGTGCGCATTTAAAGCTTGTCCTGCAGCAGTTCGGCTCAATCGGACAATCACAGGAAGGTGTTGCGTCATGTTCCATGCACGGACTATATGAACTAGCACATCCGAATCATGGTGGCCCCGTATGTAACTCATTTTGTTTTTCCCCGCGAACTCTTGAGTTTAATCATCCGATGCACTTGGTTGACGAGAACTAACCGAGGTGAAATAGCACAATGCTGCTCATCAATGTTTCTCATTTCTGTCTGCTATTGTTGTTGCACAAACAAGAAATTTCTTGGATGCGTACTTTACTTAGTTATTGAAACTGTGAAAGCTGTATCTCAGTTTGAGTGAATCCAGCCTCCCTTGTTTATTGAACTGGACGACAAATTTGCAACTTTTTTTTTATTCCCAACCGAAGTGGACTGACGACCAGCACAAAAGATTTTGTCATTCTAATAAGAGCTAAGCTGTTTGCAAACCAACTATCCGGCCGCTTAAACAGGCAAAAATGAGTTTCTTTAGTTCCAGCTCAAGGTTGTTAAGCAAACTTTTAACGCACATGAAACTTTTAACTCTTCAAAACAGTATACCGGATGGTACCGAACATGACAGTTTGCAATACAGATGTCCATGCTGTTGATGAAAGCTTGAACGGGAGAAATTCAAAAGCAGGTTTTGGTTGAGCAGCAGACAGAGATCAGCGTAAACATTTGATAGGCTTCTCGAACGATGAAAATGGTAAATACTCGTCACAGACAAAACAAGTCGCTCACAACTACTGTTTGGATTGACCTGAGTATACCGTTCCTTTCCGTTTTAGAGGAGGAATCGAAATTGCCCAATCCGGCATTCACCAATATAGCTCCGTGTCCCTGTGATCTGACCGCGACTATCTGCGATATTGGCTGTTGCTGCGATCCAGTGAGTTTGACGAATTCTCGCAATTATCCCAGGTAGTTTACGTAAATTTTATGATATGACTGAAATGCAGGCATAGTCATTACAATACAAAACAATTCAATACAGTTCCCTGAAGTATTAATTCAAAATATCATATAATCAAATTGCTTTCACTGCGATTACTTGAATGAATGCTCTAAGAATTACCACTTTACTTTTGATAGGACCATCAAGTCATCAAGTTTCCCGTTAAAATCATTGTATATAACCTTTATTGGTTTTGTATACTCTATACTTGGATCAGTCCCTTAGATTTGTACAGAAACCAATCACTATTCTTGCTCCGTGATACGGGTTTCACTCCTTGGAATTTCTTGAATACCCTGAATGGTAAATGAAATTTGTCCGTGATGGCGATAAAGTCGCAGCTGGGACCCAAAATATTCACCTGGCTAACGAGCTGCGAAACCGGTCGTGTGCTCCCAAAGAAATTTCGTTAGTCATTCGTATACTACTTATTGTGAAATATATGCGTGTATTAAAGTGGTCCTCGTACTCTTCGGACTGAGAGTCAATTCCAAATTGGAATAAGCATTGCGGCAGTTTAATTTGACGAGAATAATGTTTGGGAACCTAATTACGGCACATGAGAACAAATACCTAAAATGGCCTGTTGGGTGCCTGTGTACAAGAGCTATCAGGAAGGAAACTAGAAAGAAAGTGAAAGAAATCGACTGTGGACAAATGAAATTGAATGGGAATGATCGAATAATGGTAATCGACAGTCTTTCGGTGAAACGTGTAATCCGAATTGTCTGTATTATCTATCAACATAGCGCCCTACTAGTGCGTGTGGTCAAAGACAGGGAGAAACTTTATCCCACCAGTGGCTCTAGTATTTAGAAAGGAACTTTATACAACCAAAGAGATAAGCGTAGGACAAAACTTTAGGCTTAAGTTAAAAAGAAACCTATCTTACATGCGGCACAGAAAGCAGCAATAAAGTTTTGTGAAAAAATCTTCGAAGAAGAGGGATTTAAGTCTAATGGGAATACTCAAAGTAGATGGTTCACATATGTCAGACAGAAAATGAGGGTAAGACACTCAATCGGAAGTATCGGCGAGATCAGAAGAAAGCATAGTAGTTGGAGATAATTGGTCGTCATGGAGGTTGATGTTGATGGCATGTGAAAAGGGGGTGAAGGAGAAACATGGTCTCGATAATTGAACGAAGAAAACAGACACCAGTTAAAACTAGAGTAAATTTTAATTTTCATCATTTTTTGTTTGTATTCTTATCAGCCATGTGGTTTCTTGATGCCTGTTGTACCTTAGAGGTAAGGGTTTTGGATTTCAACCAGAAAGTTTACGATTAGAATCCCGAGGGTGAGGGTGGTGACAAAACTGAGCACAGCTAACGCGCTCCGACAAGTACTAAGTAGTTAGCCCCTGTTGGAATTGATACAAAAAGTCTAGTTACTTTTGCTCACATTTCCTTCATTACCTATTTGATTGCCATTGCTTAGCTTCGGCTTGGTTTTTGTTCTACTTTGAACACAGATATGTCCGGCAAACCAACCCGCCCCTTGTCTTCCAGGTCCCTATGGTGGTGGATCCAGTCCCATGGATGTGTTTAACTGTAGTGCTCACGCAAATCTGTTTAATACCACTACACTCTCGTTGCAACAGTACGCCGGGCCAAATGGGACCCTACTCAATCCGATTCGTCTTGCTGACATGCACACGTTGTTCTGTATCAATAAGGATAACAATGCTGCTCTGGGTTACTACTATCCTAGCTTAGGTTTGGTACGTAATCAAACGTCATGGGATACCAATCTGCAGTTGCGTGGATCGCCAAATCGTCTGATTTCGCCCAAAGATGATGGCACTCGTGGTACTGTCTCATCAACTTGGAACTATCGGTATGGGGATGCGCTTCGTCTCATCACAGAAGTGGTCACCCTGATCGGCACGAGCTCAATTACACTTGCTGATGGTCCGGAAAAACCAATCCTGGTTTTACCGAACCCGAAAGACTGTCTCCGTTCTGAAGGGATGGCTGTACGTTTCTTGCAGCGGATCCCTCCATATCAATGTCCCCTCTCAATCACTCAGGCCAATTGCTTAACAGCGAGGAGCCTGGCTAACACATTAGATCCCGGTAAGTGGAAGCCGTATTTCTCTAATGAATTTTTATTCCTATAGTGCATGGTTAATGGTTGTACAAACTGAGACTGAAACTTTACTTTGTGATTGTCAAAAAATATTTCCTTTATAAATGAACACATGTGCACTAACTTCCAAAGAAACGCATCTTATTTCACATCAAATCAGAACCAAGAAACCTAGATTGCATTAGATTAGGGCGTGTTGATTGCACACAAAATTTATTTTGATTTCGCTCTCTTAGGCCTCAATCGGTATTCCAGACAATCAGATTGTACTGAGTTGGAAAAGGCCTTTCAAGAAGGTAGGTGAATCTCAGTCAAGACCTCTCCAACCCTTGGTGTATTATTTGGTGGTTAATGTTGATATACAAATTTTTAAGAGCATTACACCGTAACAATAAACCCCTCTTCCCAGTCCTGACCGTACCGGATGTGGGAACGACAAGGTTTGATCGATCAAACGGCTTGGTTCAGCATATTGCCTTCTAATTACACTGTGAGATACAATGACTCAAAGAGCCAGGGAAGTTGTTATGCGTGCGATGTGGGCAGTTTCGAAGAGACAGAATTACAGTTAGAGAGAATTTTACCGTCTTAGTTAGGACGCGTTTTCTATGTTCAACAGTACACTTTCAAGCTATTTAATTTATTTCAAAGTGAAGATAAAATAAGAAAATGAATAAAACCTGGCGTTCGCATTATAAAGTACATTGAGATTGGTCTAAAACTACTCGTCCGGATTTATAATTATCGATAACAGTGACAAATAGACACTCCTTTAAGTATTTCGCTGAGTAACATGGGGATTTTTGAGAGTAGGATGACGGTCCATCATTATCATCATCATCAACATCATCATCATCATCGTTGACTTTATTATCGTACAGCATAATAGAATAAAGCGAAGTTCACTTATTTCTATCAAACTCGGAAAGCATACAATGTTAGGGTTAATATCTAAGGTGGTCATAGGTTAGTCCTATTTTTAGAAAGGGGGATAGAAAGTGAATCTTTATGTTCAACACAATACGCAATACAACTGTTTCTATATACCTTTTCAAGCATTTTGGCCTGATGAGAAATGACACTAAGAACACCACTGTTATCGGTTCGCTGCCGTGTTCTTCAAGTGAACCAACCAACCAGTTACAGAGACATTAGGACCCTGGAATGCGAGAGACACCTACTCTACCTATTAGCTCTGCGTATTTCTTCATGCCTCATCTCCACATCATCTGTTGAATTCCACGTGGTTTCCTCCAGCCTGAAGCGGCTAGAGCCGATAAGGCGGCGATACCGTATCTGGTTATTCTCCTCAATCCTTCAATGGTACTATATTCCAGTAACTCTGTTCTGAGAAATCCCTGTGTTTAGCTGGAAGTCACTAGATTGTTTTATGCTTGAGGTGCATTTAAAACAAAGCAGCATTACTGATACTTCATATTGCTTGCACTACAAGCCACGTTTAGTACTATCCAACAATTTCAAAACCGTCACTGTCAGGATAAAGCCAACACCATCAAACATAACATCAACACTAAAAAAATTTATATCTCCACAATCACCATAGTGTCTTGCCAGCTACGATAAATAGACTTGTCACTTTGTTACTAGCGCAATAACTGGAAGCGCTTTCAGTGAGATCGCCTTGTCATTTCTGATACCACTTCTGTGAGTCAGACCTGAAAACTGTTTCTCTGTGTTCCCCTACTGCATTTTTCAGGTCGCGGTCCACTTACTCCTGAATCACGTCTTTTGGGTAAGGCATATCTTGTCAGTGAAGAAGTGGCTGCCCGACTTCCTCCCCCGGTTTATGAGTTATTGGCTAATGGCTTTTCAAATAATACTCGAACGCGCATCAAGGTGAACTACTACTGTCTGTCTGAGACTGAAATAAATTACTTCAAGCAGTCAAAAAATGTAAGTCTTTTTCTGTTAAACAAATACCGTTACAATAACCAATACCGAACAGAACATTACCCAACACGTATGTGCGCTCCTGCCCTCTTTTGGAATTTGAAATCAGACCGATGAGGCGAGTGCTTCGCAGCTCGGATTCTTCAATCAACAGTGCCGTTTCGACCCAGCAGCTAATATGACCGCGTGCAGTTCATCTTCCACAACCACAACCTACCCGGAACCAATCCAACCGAAAGACTGTTTGTGGGATGACGGTTTCACACTCGCTCCCGATGTCAGTCTTTCGGGTGAGATCTGCACCAATGTGGTCTTACGCGCAGATTATCGGTATGCGAACATTGTTGCTTATCATGCGCTAAACTCAATTTACAAGCTTGGTTCGTTTTCTTGTGTTTTAGTTGACTGTGAGATCATTTAGTTGGTGCCATGAGTTTCATAGTGTTCGCAATACTACTGTTAGCAAACACAAAGTGGTTCAAAATGATTATGATGTTCAGAGGATATATATTGCTCCAAACCTGTTTATTATGCCGAATTGGTCGTTTTCTATTTCTTCTCAGTTTATTTTAATACCCATGAAAGACTGCTAGTTGGTACCTGTTATTCATCACTGAAAATTCAGAAAAGTGCGATCAATTCTATGGATTCATACGATCTTAGCCAAGAGCATGTTACATTCATGGATAAAGTCATGCTCTCTAAATGGTGGTGGTGGTAGTGAACAGTCGACCTCTGGATTAGCGTGATGTTGACCACTTGATTGCCGTCTTCCAGCGNCGATGTTTTATCTGGCTCATTTTCCGTTCCCGAATGGATAGACTTTGTCCTGAATAAACTTGTTAGTATAATTTCAGCAGTGATAGGTACGAATGATTTGGGTTACGGTTCTGCTTCAGCTTTGTTTTCTGTTATCCATGATTTCCACCAAACATCCTCACCCCCGGACAGCCTTAGATAGGCAGTGACTCCCTTCCCAAACATTTTCTATATCGTTCTGTGTGGTAAAAAGGTAATAAAGTGTTTTTATTGTAATTATTATTTGATTTTTCTATCATTTGCTACCACAAAATGAGGCAAACTCTTAATCATGGTGTGAATGCGAAAATAGCTTAGATGTCTACGGCCATTCAATAAATTTCTGGGGTTATTGTTCTTGTACTGTTATTCGTGCATTTTAACAAAGCACGTTCTGTTAGGTTCCTTTATGTAATCAAACCTTTTTACTATAATCTGTAGTGGGTAGTTATAATTTATTGGAGGTAACTTCAGTTGCTGACAATATGAGAGTTCGCTGGGGAAATTCA